ATTCGTTAGTAAAAAGTCCAAATAGCAATTTTGTTGATTTTTGATGTGGTTAATTTGGTTCAGTCCTAAATTAGCAGTTTTGTCAAAAATGAACTGCAATGTTTCATTATCCCCAACGACTGGGAGTAAGATACATTCATTTTCAGAGTCCAGAATGAAGTCAGCATGGCGTTGATTAAAGTCTCCATAGATGTGAACTTTAACCTCAGGAGGAAGCTCAGATAGAATTTGTTCAGCACTTTGGAAGAAGGCTTCATAAGTGCTTTTATGAGCATGGTCTGGTGGAAAATACACTGAGGCGAACACGTGCGTTTCACCGGCAATGTGTGATTTCACCCAAATATGCTCAAATTCTGTAAATTTTGGTGTAAAGATAATTTCTGAGTTAAAATTGGCCGAAAGAGCTATAAGGACTCCACCGCCTGACTTCTTCTGAGTTGCATGAAAATTTCTGTCGTCTCTGAATACATTAAAAGCATTTCCAAAGATTTCTTCACTTTTCACGCTTTCGTCCCAGCTTGTTTCAGTTGCCAGAATGACCGAGAAGGATGAGCATAATAAATTTTGATAGATTTCCTTCATTTTAGCTGGGCTTTTCATGCGATTGAAATTTTGACAGTAAATCAAAATTTCAGTCGCATTCTGTTTATGTGAAGAGATTTTTGGAAGTACGTCGGTTGATAAAATATTTTCATTGGTATTATTATTTACCTCTTTCTCGTCGAAAGGAGTCATTGCTTCCGAAAATTCGGGTTGTGAAATTTGTCGGCGCTTTCCCTTATACGCTGCAGGTGTTGGATCCTCTGGTTGTTAAGATGACGCCGATAGGATTCCAAATTGTCAGATGCCGCCTGTTTTGGTACACCATGTTCTTCATGCACCTCGAAAAAGATTTTCCGAAGTTCCTCCGCTGAAGTCGGTAGTCCTTCGGATGCCAAATTAATTTTGATGCTAGTAGTGGTCATTCCTTCATGGCAAAACGATGGCTCCTTGTCATGCATATATGCCAAATAAAGGCGAACGATGTACATTATTTTTGTGTCCCGTAGTCGTGCTTTCAGGAAACGCCCGTCCCCATCAGCTGATTGCTGCGTCAAGCTTACGATGGGTGGGCGCATAGGGTCGAGTGACCATCCAGATGTTTGATTTGATGTATTTGTATTTGATTGCAATGATGACGGCGTTTCAGTCTTGTTGTTGTGTTGTACCTGCTTTTCTGTCCGGTATTGGTTGATGGTTTCACCCTTCCTGAAGTTGATGAATTTTGGGACCGAGAGGGCTGCAATTGGGTGGTCGGTGGTCAATGGCGGACCAGCAAATTGTACTTTCGCTGTGGCCAGTAGTTGCTTGTCCGATCCCTTGGCGCGGCTGTATTCATTTCCTTGGATGATGTTTTTGGTACTGCTGGTGTGGATTTGTTGTTGTTTTCGTCGTTTTCTGCTGCGTTTGGATTTTTCAGCAGCTTTTTCCTGCAACCTGCGAGTCCGTTGTTTTGCGTCAAATTTAGACCAGTCCTGCTTCCAGTGCCATTTGTTGCCTAAAAACCGCCATCCAGGAGATGAATGGTCAGTTTTTGGAGATATTGTATTTTTGTGTACTGGAGGACTTTCAGCTAACTCTTCCTCCAAGGTCTTCTGATGAGGTTCTGCAGCATTTATCTGAAGACTAGAAACAGCCCCAGATACAAATTTCACTTCCTCAAGAATTTCCAGAAGTTTCGGCTCTGGATGATGATGATGAGGTGATGATTCGGCCCCTTTTATTGAAAGTGCCATGTCATTAGATAAGCTTGATAGCCGTTCGTCAAGTAATTTTGTAATTTTTTGTGACATCAACGAATTTGATTCGTTGATGCCGGTTATTGTCGCGTGCGCTTGTGAATCACACGTTTTCATATGCTGGCCGACCGCGCTGCACATGTTATTATTGTTTTTATTTATTACTGCCAACGTTTCTTTTACGTCATTTAGCAGGTGCTCAATGCTGTCGAATAATTCTGATACTAAGCAGAATTTTTTTAGGTCAGCAGCAATGCGGTGGTTCGCGTCCGTTTGAGAGTGGATTGCTTCCACAAGTTGCTCCTGTTGATGAAGCAGCTTCCTCACGTCGGCTTCCTTCCGTAAAATGTGCTGGCAGTCAGCACACATAGGCACCATGAATGCCGTGATGAAATGCTCCCGTTGTCGCTGTACTCCGACACAGGCAGCATGGTATTTTTTGTTGCAAAATTCGCACTTCCATAGAAAGCGGTCGTCGTTGATGCTGCATGATATTACACCGCACGGCATAACTGCTTATGTTTTAAATATTCGACGCGATAATATAAGGTACAAATGGCCAGCGAGACCCACACGCGTCGTTGTCGAAGTGTAAAAAAAAAATATATATATATATACAAATTACTTGCGGACCAAAATGCAAATGCGTCCGCGCCCGAAGACAGCTCGTGGCGAAAAAAAAAAAAAGTGTGAGGTGACTCTCCATTTGATTTGCATGGAGAGTCACCTCACACGAGGTGACAATTGTCACCTCACCGGTGAGAGAGAGTCATGTGACTCGCAGAATAAGGGGGGCTGCCACCGCTCAGGATATATGCCGCCTTTTTCCGACAAGTTTGCCAGTATATTCACTAATGAAATACTAACTGACGACCATATTACCATATCAAACGCTGGGTGGAATTGATGTTAATGCTGAGATGATTTCCAAAGCTGCGACTCTGCTCAAGTCATCCTTCAATCCTGGACCTGATGGAGTTCCATCTGTATTTTTGAAGAGACATATTGCTAGCTTATTAATTCCGCTTCATCGTCTGTACCACATGTCTCTCTCCAGTGGCATATTTCTATCCTGTTGGAAATTTGCGTACATGTTTTCCGTCCACAAAAAGGGAAGGAAACGAGCTTTGGCTAACTATCGAGGAATTATATCGTTAAGTGCCGTCTCGAAGCTATTCGAGCTAGTGATTATGGAACCGTTGCTGTTCCATTTACAAGCAGTATTTGAGTGCTGATCAACATGGGTTTACTGTCGGCCGCTCTACAACCACCAATCTGCTGTGTGGTTTTTATCACTAACGACTAAATTTTCAAACGGATCAGGACATCAGAACCTTGTTTTTTGTGTAGTATCTTAAAAAAAAATTATAAATATATCTTCAGGAATGTGCTTTAACCTTCCTAATGCATTAGAAAAAAATTACATAGGGTAAATGTTGGCTTCGGCACCCATTGACTGTTTTCGGCAACCAAAATTTAAACGTTAATTTCACTATGTTTTCCCATCAACGCACTTCCCTGATTGTGTCCAAACGATTGTTTAGCCTTTCAGCTTCAATCTGATTATATTTCCAGAACAACATGTGAAAAGGGCATACAAGCTTTTTGTAAACAAACCTTCTTATGCCCTTTTCTCGCCACCCATATGACACCAACGCAAACCTTTAACATCACCGGGTAGGGGACACTTTCCCCTTCCCGATGATATTGCTGGTTTGCGTGGGCGACCCTCGGTTGGTGAGAAAAGGGCCTACAAAGGTTTGTTTACAAAAAGCTTGTATGCCCTTTTCACATGTTGTTCTGGATTTGAACGATCGAGCAATCCAGTAATGCTACATTTTTCTTCAAATAAAGCATACGCACTACAAAATGGGGTTGATTTCGAGTTGCCGATAATAGAACAGCTGGTTAACACGCAGTTCTAATGGGAAGGTTGCCGAAGAAAAAGAGGCTGCCGACAATAGTCACACTCACCTGAGAAGTTTGGAGCGTTGTAAAAACGCTTTCAAAACGTTTTGAAAAATTCTGTCGATTGGAATGGATAGAGAAGCAAGCAGCAGATGAATGTAAACAAACAGACACATCATATATGTGCGTGACGCTGAGAAAATGCTAGTAGAAGTGCAGACGCTGCTTAGATTGACGAGAATACGTAAATTCCCCTATTGTTTCCAGGCAAAAAATGACCTCAATGCACTAGATTTCTTTAACTTGTTTAATGTGGTTCCTAATTATCCTTAGATTTGTCTTTTTATATGTGGTGTTTTATAATACTGTGTTACCAACTTCATCGCAAATAAAAGCTGTTATACTGCCCATAAAAACATAACAGTCCCATCTTTGCTTGATATTAAATTCAAATTGGGCGGTTGGGTAGTATACCGTGTGCTATGTATATAAATTCCATGTTTATTAATAATATTTTGATTTAAGGTGATACTCTAAGAGGAAGCCTTAGCTTGAAACTTCAAAAGCACAAATGTCAGCTTCCACAAAATATACAAATCTAGCGTTCAGACTCATAAGGGCCTAACTACGATGATCGATTCTCATCATCGATTTTCTCTTTTGTTATTAACTCGGCTGGATTAACATGTCTCGGTGCGTTTGATGATGTTTTTGTTTGCTAATACAACATTGCATTGTGATATTTTTGGAAAATTGGTTCCCTGAACTGCGGTAATGCGAAGACAAAATCGATCATTGCAGTTAGGCTCATATGATTCTGAACGCTAGAAATACGAAATTACTACTCCTTAGTTGCTGCGCTACAACAAATAGAGAGCAACTAATTCTATTGCTTGAAAAAAACATAGTTACGCGTTACACCGAGGGGAGAGGGTGTTGATGATAAAACTAGATTTTTATCGCTACGTAATTTGTTAGCAGACCCTTGCGATAACTACACAGTAAAAAAATGTAATATCGATCAATGTAATTCAAGCTGATGTATGAAATAATGATGTAATTTAGCAAAAAGCAGATACAATATTACATCAATGGATGTAATTTTGTTCGCCAAATCGATGTACATCGTACAACGTTATATTACATAACCGATTGATTGATTGCAGCAGTTTGGATGTAATATTCAACAACTTTTTATTCTGTGTAGAAGAACACCATATTTTCTACATCGTCGAGTGCATCGGTTTCCATGTAAAAATTATCTGCCCTTCTATCAATATTGGTTTTCGGACAAAACAATAAAGACACTCCAAATATAATCGTTAAATCCTACAGCCTAAATTTTATTCCGATATCAGCACATACATTCTCTTCCCGCTACACTGCACTGTTTTGACGATAACAGAAATTTGTTCAAGCGCAGCGACATTGCCCTTCCCAGTATTCATATATTTACGCTCGTCGATTCATCATCCACGTCAAATGCTCTTTTTCTCGCTCACATCAGTTTATGGTTAATCAACCGATCATATCCAAGGCCAATTGTTTTATCTGCTGATTTTACAACATGTGTCTACCTTTAATTTCATTATTTTGTAACTTCTCTTTTTTAGGAAAGGATAATATAACATGACGATAACGGGAAAATTATATGACAATCTAGGTACCTATCATTATTGTAAAAAAAAATCCTCAAAATACTCAACTTAAATTTGGTAAATCAATGGAATGGGAAAGAACCCATTTCTAAATTTTATTTACGCAAAACTGGTTTTTGATAACGTATTAAATAATTTACGATAATATAAAGTAAAGCATCAAAATCCATCCTCTTTGTTGGAATATAAATAGTGATGACTGCCTTCATGCATTGTTAATATAAAAAAAAAGAATTACCAACAGCTAGATTCGAATGCGCCAGAATAAACGCAGGAGCTCACGAGTATGCTTCTCTGCCTGCGTAGTCAATAGAATTTCGCTTCCTTTCGGTAATGTATTCCGGAGGCGACATTGAATATATAGTGCTAAAAAAAACTTAGATGGACAACCCGAACACCGACACGATACAGTACATCGTCTTGTTTTCCCAGCGTACCGTACAGGAACCGTCCGTTTCGTTGTTCCAGAAGCAGGAGCTAGCCGTGTGCAGTCCGGCGCCGTTTTTCTGCATGATCATACAGGTGACTGTTGGGAAAGTAAACGTACAAGAAGAAGAAGATAAGGAAACAATTATATCGATAATCATTCGGGCATCCCCGGGAGGGGATGAAGTAAGCTAGGTCGTATATTATTGTTTTACGAGCACAGGAAAAAAAAAGAATAGGAAAAGTTTTTCTTTAATCTCACATTTAATGAGTTTTTGAACCACGGCGGAACTATTCCTATCTAGTTGATAGTTTGTGCCAATATCGGAAATTATAGTCCAAGTTTTCATCACTTTGCTGGTTGAACTTTTTTCCAATGGGTAGGAATGTGGTGAAAATTACACATATGGTGAAAAAAGCCAATCACCACAGATAGCTTATCGAACACGGTCAGTCAGATTCAATATAGGGGAAATGGCTCTAATGTTGTCCTATGGATCTAAGATTGGACCCATTGCTAAAAAAATGCTATTTATTAATTTTATCTAGATGAACGCGTCATTGGGACGGTACTAATGGATATTTCTGGTCGCTATTGAAAATTTAGTCGATTGCTGAATTTATGTGTGGGCCCAAATTAGGGACATTTAGGCCCATTTTCCCTATTCAGACTGAAAGCATGTCATGGAACGTGCGAGAGTCAATCATTATTCTTGAAATAAGAGACTATGGCGTCAAAAGGAATCAATGGAAGGTAGATTACACATCCCTTCATTATTAACTTGAAAAATCACAAAATTAGCTTGAGCCTCAATTAAAATATCACCGATTTTGCTGAAATTTTTTACAGAAACTCAACTCAACGTGAGAAACAGTTATCTGTTTTGAACCGGGCGTATTCCGAACATTTTTGTTTTCTAAAGAAGAACAAATCTAATGCGGGCATCTTAAGGAATAGCCTAATTATGTTTCCCCACAATTGGCGCTCTAGTTGACGCTATAGATCCTCGCAGAAAAGTTGAACAATACTCATATTCATAGTTTGTCACACAAGTGTATCCGTGGCATTAGTGCGATAATTTACACTAGTTTACAGCATATTTAAACTGTGTATACGTATACGCTGATGGCCATTTCCCATATCCAATCCAAAAATGTAGTCAGAACGATCTCAGTAAGATAAAAAAAAACTTATAAGTTATACTTTCAATTAAAAAGTTCACAAAGACTTGACTAGATTTTTGCATTTTCACTAAATCGAACATAACTTCCACAAATTCCATCCCCAAAAATTCCTAGACCGGACCTGGAATCGAACCCAGCTGCGCCTTTACCGACTGAGCAAACGGAGGCAATACATCAATACATAAACGGCGGACCTGGATTATTGTCTATGGGGATAACGCCTAAACTGTCGGTGAAAGCATAACTGTCCCATGTGACATTTTGACTTTTTTAGGGTATGATGCTTAACGTTATATATCAATACGTATTTTAAAATACGCTGTTTATTCTAGAAAAAAATGATGTGAAGCCGTTTTGTCCCATTGTAAAAATGGACGCATATCTGCTCCAATTTTAAATTAATCTTTAAATTATTTGGATGATACCTCGATAACGTCGTAAGCACATTAACACTTTTTTTAGGAAAATTTGAGCCATCATTCTCAGTGCTGTTGCTGTTTACAAACAAATAAATTATTAAATGTACTAATCAACTTATCTAGCAACACCTTACCCTATTTGTACCTTTTCGTAACACACGATAATTTGGCATTGAAAATCTATGGGGTAAAATTGTGAGATTTATTTTAAAAATAAACGGTTAACCTTACATTGCTATTATTCTGATGCATGCCACTGCCAACCGAGAGGTCTTCCTATCCACTTCAATTCTACGATGAGACCTATGCTAGAGTACGTTAGCTTCAGTAGAGAACGTATCCTTTCGATCGGCTGGAGTTGTTTCATGGAAAACAGTTTGCAGTATTTGAGGTATCACTGTTGATGTTGCTTGCGTATCCTAGCGCATAACGTCCTTTATGAAAATTCACTTTTCTCATGAACACCACGTACGGGCGAGGCTTGAATAAGTTCAACGTGTACTGTGAGACATTCAACTTGGCTTAGAAGAAGTCACTGTCTTTGCACTGCCAACCACCGATTTGAAGCTTTCAAAAGTTACGACACGTTCACAGTGGGACAAATATGCGTACATTTTTCAACTCGTCAAACAAATTCGCGGAATAAGTGCCCCATTTTATTTTTTTGGATAATGTTGACAAACTTTCTAGAAGTAGAACCAAATTTAATCGTGAAATTTTACGATAACAGCAAAAAGACTATTAAAACTTTAACTGCAGTTTTCTCATTTTTGTGTTTTGTAACATGGGACAATTATGCTTCCACCGGTAGTAAAGGTATGCAACGGTTCATATAAAACAGCTGCTACGTATCCAACTTTCCACGCGCGGTAGTGGCGGTCTACGCGGGTCTTAAAATACAGCGTTTACAGTAGTTTTTGACACTTACTGGAGGTTAGTGTCAAAAACAACAGCAACCGCTCTCTTTTCAGACAACAAAACGTCACCCCAAGCTCTTCCCCTGATCCTATCATTCAATATTCTACCCCTCTAACCCTGGGTAATCCACGAGTATTCGGCCCAACTCCTACTAGACATAGAAATAACTATCGGCTCCGTAAAGCGATTGAGCCTTCCAAATAAACGAACTAGATTTAAAAAAAAAACAGCAAACGCTGCATTTTTAAACCCGTAAAAGCCACCATTGCCCATTACCAAGATCGTGGAAAGCTGGATATTTTCCTTCCACACGGCCACTCAGAGAGTTTCATTTTTACTCAGTTGTATGAGAAATTAATGAGTTATTTTCAGTAGCCGTGCGTGGTTGACTGGTTTAATTAAATTAATAAAATAACTCATATCGTGAGTACAATAAACCTGAGAGTTACGTTCAATCATCTATCAGAACTCGTGAAGGATTCTTCTTGTTGAAAAATTGCATTCTAATATGCATCTAGCCATATTTTAGGGGTGTGCAATAATTAGAAACAAAGAGTGCAATAATAGAATTTCAATGCAAGTTGGGCTCTGAGACAAAATCAAAAGATTTATTATAAGTAAAATTTTAACGAATGTAAAATTGCAAATGAGCTCTGGAATTTTTTCTTCAATCGCAATCAATTATACAACATATTTTCAACTGTGCGTATTTCACAAAGCTTACCGTTTATGACTTTACCAATTTTACCAGAAAACAACATAGCACTTGATTCTACTCACCGATATATTTGTAGGGTTTCTGCAGTTTGGTCAGTACACTGAGACAGGTTTCCACCACCGACCCGGTCCAGTTGTTCACCTTGTCATGCTGGTATGCGTTGCCTCCGATGGTGGTTTCGATTGCTTCCTTGATGATTTTGCTCACATCGTCCACAACGAATTGATGCTGGTAAAGAATCAACATAACTGTGTATTAGAGTACGTTCCCTGCAGTATGATGACTTTATCGTAATCCTCAGTTCGTTCGTTTGTTTGATTTTTTATGTTCGCGTGGATCCGCGAAGGTTGCTTGCCAGCCTTTAACTAACAAAAAGGAAAATCCAGATCCAGGACAGCTTCGCTGTTGTTGTTACATTTTTTCGCCATATCCCGATAGGAAAACCCCGACTGACTAGGGTGGGTGAGCCAGTAGTGGAGGTACTAAGCCAATTTATTAATTAAACAATAAATATACGATGTACACACAATTGTTATACGTCAATCTATAGCTTTCAACCTCTATTTTGGTAGAAAAATATTACTCTGTAATAAAATTGCATACAATTTTAGAAAACTCATCCTCCATTAATAGGAACACTGTTCCAGTAGTTGTGGTAGTTGCTAACTTTGGTTCCTATAATAGTGGAATGCGTTGGTTTCTTATGGGTTGCAATATTATAGGAACACTACCGCAACTATAGGTGTGAAAATCTTAAGGAAAGTTAATGATTTTCCGTAATGTTTGGACTAATTTTAAGTTTGAAATATGCAAATATGCTTTATTTTAGGACAGCTACCGATGCAAAATAATCTTAGCCGGGTCCTCCTCACTATTCCGGCACAACCTCCATATCGCAGCTATAGGTACACCACTATTACTAGAACACCTACCCTATTTGTTGCACTTCTGCCGCACGCATGTACAAGATACGGAAATTCCTCAAAGGCGCCTCGACGAATGTGTTACCTTAGCATAATTTACCACTCGTTAGAATTTTTCTCACGGAAGGAGGTGAAATTCAACTATGGTATGCTCGTACTATACAAAGAGAGAAAGGTAGTGAGGAATTTGAAAGCCGCGACCTATTAGGAACGGCGTTTTTTGTTGCATAACTAATTCTATTAAAAGATGTTGAAACTATTTTGAAAATTACTATCGGGAATTACATTCAAAGTTTTATGAATACGGAGAATTCTATAATTGTTGGATGTTGCTATCATCATTCAAATAAAGTGAACATCGCTAGCCATTCTTCCGAGTGAAGTAGGTATATACTGTAACTACTATCAGCGATTTTTGCCAGATTTTTGTACACGAAAAAAGTTGAGATACCCTTCTTTATTTTGATACCGTAAGCTTCTGTAACAAGTTTTATAGCTTAAAACATTTAATTTTTGAAAATATTTTTTGATGTAACAAACTTGTTACAGTACCTTACGGTATCAAAATAAACAAGGGGGTCCCAACTTTTGTGATTTGCTACTACCTGCATTGATTATTACTGCTTCCAGATAGGGCACGAGCTTCCAGAATGTGGCAAGCAGCAACACAGTTTTTGCACCACGCTGATGTTTGATCAATTTCATAATGTGCTAACAAACATGCACCTTTCGTGTCAGTGGTGATGACGATGACCGTGATGAGGCTTTATTTCCAGTACTTAGTATGTCATCATGTTTTTAGATGTCTACATTAACTCATCGAAATCTTAGTATGTACTGATTTGTTGCAGCGAGGCGCCAAAAAAAATGCATATCCTGTAGGTACTTACATACTTGATGGATACACTTCGTTAAATCTATTTCTAGCGTTCTGAACCATAAAGGCCTAAGTGCGATGATCGATTATCTTCATCGATTTCCTCTTTTGTTAATAGCTCGGCTGGATTAACATTTCTCGGTGCGTTTGATGTTGCTTTTGCTAGCTAATACAACCTTTCACTTCACTGTATTGTAATAATTTCGGAAAATTGGTTCACTGAACTATGGTAATGCGAAGAGAAAATCGATTATCGCATTTCAAGTATGGTTCTGAACGGTGGAGAATTATTTTCCAAGGGACTTCAGATAGTCTAGTCAGTAAATGCACGGTATGACCAAGCTGGAGGTGGTTGGTTCGATTTTCGGTCCAATCAAGGAAATCTTTCGGGTTGGAAATTTTGGCTCGACTTCCTTGGGTATACAATATACATACTTAGGTTATTTTACAGGAGTCAGTGTTTTTTACTGGGTTTATGAATTACAGGGCCTTGCTTAGCTCAGTCGGTAAAGGCGCACCTAAAAGCAAGACCATACTGGAGGTGGCTGGGACCGATTCCCGGTCCGGTCTAGGAATTTTTCAGATTGGAAAATTTCTCGACTTCCCCATCCAAACAATTATACTAATGCAAAAATGGTACAGGCATCAAAAGCTCTCAATTAATAAATGTGGAAGTGCATCTGAAACACTAAGTTGAGAACCCGCAATAAGCTAATATGCGGTAAGCAATAAGCTTGAAATGCGATGAAAAATATGAAGAAGAAGGAGTTGAATTCCTGAAATAGTCGGTAAACATTCAAATGACTATCCGTAAGGAATCAATGAAATTGACAAATTTTATTTATCATTAAAACTACGTCTGTACAAGTTCAGAATAAATGTTCTCATTTTTAAACCTTCCAGAGTTAAAAATCTCTTCTACCGAACAATTATGGGGTGCTTTTTGAATAGGTCGTATGTGAAAAACGTAAACAAATTGACATTTTAATGCTACCCGACACAACTTGACAAAAAATGCTACATACGGTTCAATTAAAAAAGACTCCAGAGTTCCGAATGCACCGACGCCAGGGAAGCAGCTCCCACACCTGGACCTTACCTATCGACCCATCAACTCATGAACCGGGGACCAACGGCTTTACTTCCCTTGGATCAGAGATGTTATGCCTCAGAACATCCCGGCGGCGCCGACTGGGATTGAACCCAGGTAATCACGCTTACCACTACACCACCGGCGCCGCTCAGCATCAAAATGACAGCAAATTGAAATCAAGTTTTGATATCAACATCAAACTGAAATCATAATTTGATTCCAGTTTACTAAATTTTGTTTTAATTTTGCTGTACATTTGCTCTTCAAACATATGTTTTTGCGGGTTTGTTTTCATTGCCTTAGGATAACATCAAATTGAATACTTGTTTTGTTGTCACCAGGAAAAATTAATATCAATCAAATTGAGTTTTCAATTTGCTCTCACTGATAGCAGAAATAGTTTTCAAAGTGATGCTCTCAATTTTTACCAAAATGACAGCAACCTGAGTAACCATTATCAACGACATCACAACATCAAATTTAGATTTCAATTTGATCTCAGACTTTGCTCGGGATAGCCACCCTATCGGGGTGGTATGAGCGATCTTGTAAACAACGGGTAAGAATATTATGTTTTCTTTAGGCTCTATGAAGGCTCAACAATGAATAGTTTTAGTAAAAAAAAAATTTAACAGAAACAATTATTTTCTGAAGAAAAAATTAAATTTCAGAAGTACTGTACAGTCTTGTGAATGACTGATTTTTTACCAAAGCAGCTGTTTCAAAACACGATTTCATATGATACAGTCACATTTATGAAAGCAATAATGCAAAATTGAAGAATTTAAGTTGAAATATCAGTGGTGCTCATATTGCCTCGAATGGACTTAAGTAATATTTTGTTAAGAAAATCTTTAATGTTTATTAAAATCTAGAAACACATTATGTCATATAAAAAATTAATGACTATTTATAAAGCTGCTGAAGGAATATTAACGATAAGTTATACAAAACTACTGATAGACCTTATTTTCTGATTCAGAAATCTTATAACAGTTTTGACGTTTTGAGCTAGTCTAACATTTTTCGAATATCACTAGAGAAAAATATTTTGTTAGACTTAAATGAAATGGATAGTAGAAGTAGGCTTCAAGCATTAAACGTGCAACACATGTTTTGTAAAATATGTTCAAAAGGTTGATTTTTAAACGGGGGGCTACATTGTCCATTGGTCATATTGCCCCACTTACCCCAAAAGATAGAAAATAAAATGTGTCGATGTCATTGATTCCTTACGCATAAAAAGAAAACGAAATTCCCCAAAAAGTTCCTTGTCCGGCAAGCAATTGTTATGGGCTGAAAAGCGAAACTTTAGTTACTTCTTGGATCATGAACCAGAAGGAATACCTTCGGAAGAGACTACTGCCTTTTCAGGAGGACCATGAGGTGGATTGTCTATTCTAGCCGGACTTGACAAGTTGCCACTACTCAATTTCCACCAAACAGTGGTACAGCAAAAATGACGTTACAGTGGTTCCCAAGGAGATGAATCCGGCCAATACTCCGGAACTAAGGCCAATTGAGGAATACTGGTCAACAGTTCCAGTAATAACCTATGGTAAGGAAGACTGAAACAATGTTCTTACAATAAGCATAATACCTACTAATATATGGCTGTTACATTGAACTATGTAAAATAAAACGCATTTTTATACTTCAAAATGTAAAAGTGCGTGATTGGGTGGTGGCCTATCGACAACAGAATGTGTAAGTTGAGGATAAAAGGTCGTTTCTTCAATATCAGCATAATGAACATGAACAGCCCTCACCAAGGAAGCGATGATGTCGATAAGAACACTTCTTAAGCGTAGCTGAAATGATAAGACGACAGCTATCCAAGCCATGATTCAAAACCGTTATTGGAGATCTCAATGCTCAGATTGACCAGGAGGAGGAATTTAGACCGATTATAAGAAAGTTCAGCGCGCACCTACTTATTTACAAGAATAGCCTCATCCAAGAAAATTGCCATACGTAAAACCTACTTATTTCCAGCGCAGCCTCCCATATCGGTACACCTGGAGATCATCACAACAGACCGAATAACAAATCGACCAAATTCCGCACGAAACACAAAATCCACGCCAGATGTAAAAACTATTCTTTTTCTTATTCACATTTCAAGCTTATTGCTCATTGCATATTAGCTTATTGCGTGCTCTCAACTTAGTGATCTAGATGCCCTTCCACAGTTATTAATTGGGAGCATTCGATGCCGGTACCATTTTTGCATTAGTATAATTGTGTGGCAAGTTCAATGATACTCTAAATGCCCAGGGAAGTCGAGAAATTTTCCAACCCGAAAAATTCCTAGACCGGACCGGGAATCGAATCCAGCCACCTCCAGCATTGTCTTGCTTTGTAGCTGCGCCCTTTACCGACTGAGCTAAGGGAACCACTGTGCATGGATGAGATTTGATTTTTTTATATTTGCCCATCACTGCTAGCACAGACAAACAGACATAACTCATTGAAGTCGCTAAAACAATACCGCCATCTGTCGAGTATACTGTGATGGGCACTACGCTGACCAGATGGCGGTAGTGTGTGAACGTCAAATGCAAGGGAATTGGGTTCTTTAATTTTAAAAATATATCGGTTTTTATATATCATCTGAAAGAGCTTCGTTTTCTGAGCACAGCAATATTTTTTTCGAACCCACACACTTTCATCTCGATTTTTAAATCAAAATTTAAAGCAAAATAATAAGTTTACTGTTTGACACTAAACTGACAAACTGACAGCTCGCTCCCATACAAAGTGACACCGAGGGGAGCTAATAAGGTGATTTTTGCAAATGTAATCGTTATCATTTAAAATAGTTCCAGTGTACCAAAATTGATGAAATTTTGGTTTTGGGTTCCATTTTTAATGCAGATTACGAATATGCATTACCTCGATACCCTTAAAGAACCCAATTGAATATGCGAGCCACTGGTGGTGGTACTACCACCTAAAAAACATTTAAATTGACCGTTAAATGCGTGTCCGATGAATAACTTGCGAGTGTTATGTTTGTTTATCTGTGCTGCTAGTGACAGATAGTCACACGACTCGCAGAATCAACTCTCCACAACTCGATATCCACTAACTCGAAAAATGAATATCATGGCTACTGTGATAGCGGTTTTGTATAGGATAGTTATTTGATAACTCGATGGTCGAGTTGTAGAGAGTTCACAGTATTTCAAATAATTATGGCTGCATCTTTTTTTTATTTGTTCAGTCGCGGGTTTAAAAATGTATATATGGGGAGGAGGGGCATAGTGAACAGGTAAGACATAGTGAGCATCCCGCAGGTTGGCTCTGGATCTCCAGCGGCATGAAACAAATCAACTGGTAGTAGGTTCAATATCATTATGATATTGATCCTACCACCAACCAATTTGTTCCGGCCGGAAGTCCAAACTGGTACACGGGATGCTCACTATGCCCCTCTTACCCCTATGGCGGTCAAACATCAAAATATGTAGTCTTTGTCACGAGCGAAGGCGAACAATATTGTGCACATAGATGGAACAGTGTACGTTTGAGGGGGCGCGGAAAAATTTAACCCTGTAATTGACCAGAAGATTCAGGAAAACTACAAGCGGTATGCATCGGGTTCGGTACGGGTGGATGAGGAACTACTCGTAGACAAATAAATATTTGGAGTAAACGAGGTAAGAATGTGAACGCTGTTGTCTTTTATTGAATAAAAATATTAAAATCACTTCAGTTTACTTTAAGTGTACTCATAATTTCTGGAACAGTCTATAACTTCAACGTGACCCGTGCTACAAGTCAAACAAGAATAAATCCAAATGGATTATAATGTTATCCTTGTCAAATTGAACTGCCATGAATCATTCAAAACACGGAAAAGTCGTGAACTTGACCTTGATGGATTAATGATTAGGTACAGGAAAATGATCCGCTAAAAGTTGGTTGGACTCGATTTTCACTGCACCCCTCTGTATCGATCAACAACAGAAAAGTGGACATGTTTTCCCCTTGAAATTAATCGTTACCATCGATCAAATGTTTCGCTCGGTAGCGAGGGTGATGTTTACGAATTTTATTTGCCAGGGCCTTTGCCTTTATAGGCAGATACCTACGACGACACAGTTTCTTACGCCGAAAAATATTCTTCCCACAACCAAAACAAGCGCTTCTCTCGCTCTCATATAGCTCATGTCTGATTTTGCAATCCTTCTAGGTACCAAGAAGACATTTTTTGTCGTTCACGAAACGCTTCAGCTAATTTTTCTGCAATTTATTTACATTTTGAGATCATAGCGAGGGGATGATGATCTCAAGTAGGCGACGAAATTTACATGAAGATTGTCTCCTTCACCGCCTCTACCTACCGGAATGAATAATGATTATAAAATGACGCAAGCTTCAAGATTCCCAGTCCCTCTCTTGTCTATCATAGGCCGATTAAGGAATGTACAAAAAAAAATCGACGTCAGCTGGTGGTAAGCAAACCAAACCTTCGAACTTCAAGCGGAGTGAGAAAATTTAAGTGAACGCTTACCTCTTCTCGGCCGTCGTCCATGGTGTTTGGGTTATTCTATTCCTGTTGAAATCCTTCACAAAACTTGTTGAACTACCGAAATGGTCACAAAAAGTAATCCGTTTGGCGAGGGGACAACACCAAAAAATGCACACAACTAGAAAGCTATAGAATTTTCTGTTGGAAAAACTATCACCACTGCACTGAACGAACAATCTTCAAACGCCAAAAATAATCTGCGCGAAAGAAAACTGACCTTTCGAAGATGCAATGCAAACTATAGTCGCTATAGCGACTATAATGCAAACAGGGGCGTAGTCTAAAATTATAAAACTGGGAACAATTTTAAGTTCAGCATTGTCTACACTACAACATCGGATAAAACCAAGGTTTGTAGAAATGCTAGAGAGGTGTTAAAATTGTTTACACAGAAATTTTCATATATTGGGCCGTATGATCGTATGAATAAAAAGAGTTTACTTTACTTTCCCGTGCTATTCTTACGGGAAAAGTCAAGCATACGACCTCAAGAACCCAATTTCATTATATGATCGGTACAGTTGAAAATCGGAATAACCCACTAATGGTGGTAAGCTCCAACCGGTATTATCCTCGGATTAAATCCCGATCAAGAATGTCCGGCTGGTTTGATGTCGACATCAGAGTTAATCAACATAATTCTGAGCAAACATTTTTCAGATCATACAAACAGGGACGGTATTAAAAGTTAATCCGAGTTGGAGCTTACCGCCATAAGTGTCGTAAGTAGTGCGTTTCATAGCGTATCATTGTGCGATTACAGCGCACTACTTCCAACACTATGTTCAACGTACAGAACGAGTAAAATTAATCATTTTGTTCGACCATTTTCCACAGAGATGGCGCTGTTCCCCTGGTAGGAAGTGATAAAAATCCCCATATAGAAATTGAGAGAAGTGGGAATAATTCGCTTTCGGTGCATATTCAGGTGAAAAAAAGTGAACGACAACCTAAAGAAATTAATCAGGGACTTTGTCGTTCAGTTTTTTCCCGGAAATTATAGTTAATCAAGCTACAATTAATTAAAAATGATTTTTCCCCATACAATTTTACCCACTTTACTACCAGTCCCCAGAGAGCCACGAAAATTCAAATTTGAGAGAGAAATTCTCTCTCACGAGCTCAATCTCTCAACATGCCATGTATTTAGTTGACACTCGATTTGTGATTTCCCTTTCACAGATTACAAAATAGAGTACCTGACACTACAAAACATGTCTGGTATCTCTATATATGCATTTGCTTTATCATTTGAAGTCCCTCCTTTTTTACATATTCTGCGCAAAAGATACTTTATGCCCCGCCCCATACATAAAATTCGGCGGGAAATTCTGTGAGGGGTGAGCTATTTTGTGTGCAGAATGTGTAAAAAAGGAGGGACTTCGAATAATAATCTAAATGCATATATAGAGGTACCAGACATGTTTTGCACTGCAGTGTCCTCTGTGAACAATTATAGGAAAACAGATCGTGTGTAGTTTCCGATAGATGTCACCACAAACAACAGCTGTGACATCTGATGGAACATGAATGCAGAAGCTTGACAAAATGATCAATTGCTCGTAAAATTGTCACTAGTGGGTTATTTCGGTTTTCAACTTTACCGATCATATAATGAAATTGGGTTCTTTAGGGGTTTTGAGGTAATTGCAAATTACATAGGAAAATCCACGAGCCCCTCATTGTATCTGTCAAACTTTCATAGCGAATCAAAACAAACCTAGTGTAGTACCAGAATTTAAACAAGAATGCACTCAAAATAATATTATTCCAAGAATGATTAAATTTGATACATTTCAGGTATAAACGTTGATTATACATCGGTTGGCTTAAAAAGTAATCAGGCTTTAGATTTTATTTTACACTAAAAAGTAATACAAGAGACAAAATCATCAACTAGCATAATGATTGAGCAAAGTATGTGCTTGTTGCGTGTTTAAAAATATTATTCTAAAACAACGAAATTACAATGGTTTTTACCATAGAGGTAACTATAAGACCAGAAGGTCCTGAAGAAACGTGCTCAACTTTTTGGCTCAGCTCTGGTACTATCTTCGGTCCCAAGCTAATCGATGCACCCCTCGAAACATAGGAAAATCCACGAGCCCCTCATTTTATCTGTCAAACTTTCGATTTCGAACATTTCGACTGGATTAGTGTACGTTAATCGATTTGCTTGGGACCAATAGTCAAGTAGTGAGCCAATTTAAAATCGTTACATTCCACCGGTTGGTTTTTACTGTTGAATTTAGAAAATATTAAAATTTATTGCTACGGGAGAAAACATAAATTTCGATTTTTAACGATACAATGCTCAAATAATGAAAATTAGTATGGTGAGATCAAATTTGTTTGAGAAAAATCACTTTTTTATTGTTAAGATGCTTAACAACCCCCCCTTTTTTACTGTAAATTTCTCAAATACCATGATTTTCATTGCTGTGAACCATGAATTTCGTTATTATTTTATGGTAATGGACAAAAAGGTTCAATGTTTTGACAGTAAATATCATGCCCAACAAACATTGAATTCAAAATAATAGATTATTCAGACAAAAATATTCGCTTCTTCAGCTAAAAAATTGCTTATTCAGCCTTTAATCAGCACAAATTGATTGTTGGTGGTTACAATGACAATGAAAATCATTGTATTTTTATTTGATTTTATTTACGGGAAGCTACCCTAATAAAAAATACCACAAACGAACGATAACCCAAATAATATAACTATTCCACAAATGGTTTGGATTATACCCCGAACACGTCGTTAAGCAAAATAACCATAACAATTTTATAAGGCTGTCCACGAACCAGTTGCGATCAGCTGACTTTTTTGTTTACCAAGAACTTTTGACAGATCACAGTAGAACTTTCACTCTCATATTAATTTCTGCTTTGTTTATGTTAACATTCAGCACCATTAACACCAGATCACTCACACACTCTTGATTTCTAGCTGTCAGTTCCAATGAAAAACCTCTCTTGGATCCAAGGGGGGACGTGGCTGTCAAATACGAACATAAACACAGCTAAATACAATAAAGATTTAAGTTTTATCTATCCTCAATCAGTATTATTTTTGAGTGTAGATTATTTCGAGTGTGTATACATGGCTGAATGTTCGCACTGCTGCAATCAAAATGCAACAGCGAAAAAAAAAACAAGAAGCAGTGAGAAACGTCAATCTCAACTCAATATTTTGAGTCCGCTCATTTTCGGTCGCATCAGCATTCCGCATCCGGAAATCGCATTTTCTTAATTTGCCAGGTATACCAGATAAACATTTAGTTTGTAGCCCGGTGAATAGTGAGTAACATATAGCTATGGCCGGTTACAATCCAGTTGATCTTGTGGAGGAGGACGCCGCTGATTTGCAGTTTCCCAAAGGTAAGAATTTCGATTGATGAGCAAGATGTGTGTTCCGGTTCACCAAAAAACTCGATGTTTCTCGCTATATTTACCTAGAATTTGAAAATGCCGAAACCTTGCTGATCAGTGAAGTTCACATGCTGCTGGAGCACCGCAAGAATCAAAACGAATCCTCCGAGGAAGAGCAGGAATTTTCAGAGGTGTTCCTCAAAACCTACAACTACACCGGTATGTTCCGGAAATTTAAAAACAAAGAGACGATTGCCAGCGTTCGAAGGTATGTTCCTTCACACTCCATCTCTAGATGACTTTGGTAATGAGTTTTTTGTTGCGCTTTTAGTTTACTAATGTCGAAGAAACTTCACAAATTCGAACTTGCAGCATTGGGGAACCTTTGCCCGGAAGCTCCGGAAGAGGCAAAAGCACTCATTCCTTCGCTGGAGGGACGCTTCGAAGACGAAGAGCTGAGGCAAATTCTTGACGATATTGGCACGAAGCGTAGTTTGCAGTACTAAGCTGGATGGAGAAGCTGGGATGTTCTCATTTTTTCCACGCACTAAACAAACGACCCGTGGGTATAGGTATTTGCATTTAAGGGAAGAGTATTAATCATAATCAACTGTGCTTACCGAATCCGGAAACAGTAAACTTGGTGACAACACTATCGATTAGGTTGTGGTTGTTCTGTTTGAGAAAGCCGAGCAATTCCACTTAGTTTAATAAGGAACATTGGAGCTCAGTGCGTCTTCCAACGCCGTGACTGGAAAGCAAATAATTATCAATAATTGCATCTCAATTGGTTATCTAATGGATACTACTTACGGTGTACTTTGTGTTTCGTGTAAACGTCTCTATTGAGTTGCTCCGCCAACTGGTGGTGACATTTGCAGTACGTTTTCTCCAGCATACCGACTTGGGCATTGCTGATGAAGTCCCCTATCATGCTATTGTCATCGATATCCCCTCGAGCGTCCATTTCCGCATAGAGGACATTATTGCTCCACTCGTCACGCACAATATGAACCAGATTCAGCAGTCGGATGACGCCTTCCCGGAACACTTTGCTTTCCTCTGTCTGAAAGCAATGCTCGTAGATTGTGCTAATGTACGATTGGTGGACGGCAATCATATCGTTTAGATTATCGGCAGCTTCCAGTCGCTCGTCGAGTTGCATTCCCAGCGATTGCAGTACATGCGTCATCAAATGCGAATGGATGCTTTGGACAGTGAAGATCATCCAGAACTTCAACATCGCTAATCGTTTCAGATTTAAATCCAGTACACAGGGTTCCTCGTATGGTGGTCGCTTTTTGTAACACTCGGGAAATCGCAACGATTCCAACGTATGCAAAGCCCATTTCACCTTCAGCAGAAATCGGAACACACAATTGTAACTGCTCATCGTTTCTTCGTTGATCATGTTGCTCAGATCGTCGCTCGGGTTGTACAAAATCCGCAGCTTATTGATCGCATCCAACACGGTGGTCGTTTCGCATTTGTACTCCGATACGATTTCGATCGTGAAGAGGGACGTCATATCGGTAAATCTGGATGCCAGGATGTCGTTCAACTGGATGGTCAGCAGATAGGGGTTGGCCCAATTCTCACCTGCTTCGATTCGCCGGTACAGGTCACTATAGAAGTAATACATAAGATCGCTCGCTTCCAAGAGCAGCACCTTCCGGATGTTCTTCAAGTGGTTCAGAACCAGGAACTCCTCCTTGTAAATTGTGGTAACGAAGTGGTTCGCAGCTTGGCGTTTCGTTTCCATGAGATTCTTTATGGCACTGAACAGTACGTGTTCTAGTGGGAGCGTTAATTGACCGGAAATTGAATTCAGACGACGGTACAGTGAATAAGCGTTGGTGAGGCAGTTGCTTGAGGGTACCGCCGGAAGGTTGGTTTCTTCGTCTTCGTCGTCGGTGCATGCAAGTTGCAACGAACTGTCCAATGCCAGCATCAGCAGTTCATCGTCGCAGATTTCTTTGATTTGATTTCGAAGATTCTGCAGCTTTGAGGTTGTAGCAGTTTCCTGTAAGGAAGCGTTAAAAAATGCCAATGAATATCCAACAAGTTCCACTGCCGGTTATTGATATTATAATCATAAACCAGGTTTACCCTTATGGTTAAACCTGGCTTGAGGACAAGATTGATATAATCCATAAATGGCCACTATCATAGCTGATTTTACAAAGCAAATCCTATTTCTTCTTTCTATTAACAAGATTTTCAGCCGGAGCCAAATTCATGACAACGACCATTTGTGTATTCTCCTTAGTTGAAGAAATTGGCCTTTGATGAACAATAAGTAAATAAAGAAACTCGCAGAACCAGGACATTCTACTAATAAAAACAGATAACGAAACATTTTAAGTAAACAATCGCATAATAATTATCAAACGCATTAGCGACTATTGTCAGTTATGAGCTGCGAGGTACACCAAGTTAGGGGCTGTTCGTAAACCACGTACGTAGACACCTTAGGTTTGGTGAATGTCTATGGTCTATAGAAATTAAAAAAAAATGTTTGAAAGATTGTCCACGCGGAGGGCGGGGGTCTGAAATCTTTCAAAAACTGTCCACGTAGTTTATGAACGTGCTGCCCTATCCTGGCATGTTCCTGACGCACCTTGGGTAGTTTTCAGTTCCTTTCAAGGGCCAAAACCCATCAACCACATGAGAACTAAAGAATAAGATCTGTGACGGTAATTTTGAGTTTACAGACCCACATCAAACTACATGCGAATTTATTATTAACATTTTTGGCGATTATTTTTAGTATCAGCAAGGCTGGTAGTGCTGATGCGGTATAATAGTAGTGAGTTTAGTGACTAAAATTATGGAAATAGTGACCAAATAGTGACTTGTAAATACTAAATAAGTAACCATTTATATGGTAAATTAGAAATTCAAACACGGTTTGATATTGAAATAAACTTTTTATGTCATGGAGCTCATCCGTTAATGATGGATGGTGAGGGGTGTTTTCCCTGCCACCACTCGCAAAAGGGATGATTGCCGATTTGTTCATGTACCTTCGATGTGCGGAAACAGTTCTATCGATTGTTTCACACTCAAGTCTCCATCTGACGTAAACAACTACCCGATTCGTACCTTCCTCAAAATTGTTCAATTTTTTACAATTTTCACACTGCCATGCTATAACGGAACTATCAACTCTCAAATTTAATCTGCTCATCTATCGTATAAAATCTCCTCTTTGAGTATGATATTTGACGTTAAGCATCTCCGACCATGTAAATCGTTAAATTCACGCATGAAGTTATGACACATCATTAGTTAAATTAGATTATTTTCGATTTTTTCTTCTATAAATCCATTATAAATTTATTTGAATCCTCCTTAGAACTTCAATGCAATTAACCTCAGAAATTTCATTAATTTCTGCTTAGACAATAATCTTGGACTTCTCCCTTGCATTTAATTGGAATTCTCCTTAGAACTCCCATAGTATTTCCTCATAATTCTCAAAACCAAAAATCCATCACAGAATATCTTTGGAACTCTTCTCAGAATTCTTTTGCGATCGAACCCTCAAAATTCGATTCCATTGGAATTCTTCTGGGAATTTATTTTGAACTCTTTAGAATTATCTTGGAAGTATCTTCAGAAATCACCCCAGAATTCTTTTAGAACTATATCCACAGAGACCATCTTTGGAGTTCACGGGATTTTCATGGAATTTTCATCAGAGCTCCTTTAAGTAAAATTTCAGAACTAATGTTGAATCCTTATTAGAATTGGACCTAGAATCCTCATCCAATCATCATGGAATTCTTCTCTGAACTCTCGTTAAAATGCACTCTCAATTATATTGGAATTATTTCCAAAATTGTTTTGGAGCTGAATTTTGCGTCTCTAATAATTTAAACAATAATCAAAAGCGACGGTCGTATGTGTTAAGCCAAATTTAACTATATAGATAAACCTGGCTTAAGATTTAAGCGGAGATGAAGAAATCGGTCCTCAGAGCACTTAATTTTACATGAGACTTTCGTAGTCTGTACTTTGGTATTCATCTCTGATGTAATCCGTAGAATCCTTTAAAATTCTCTTAAAATTTACTTTGGATTTTTTTAAAAACTTTTGAAAATCTATCACAGACAAATACCTTTGGAAAGTTTCCAAGGTTTACAATTTATTTTCTGGGAAAGGGAGGTATATTTTCCCCAATTTTTAATATAAATTGAAAGCATTTCCTAAACGTTTTCCTGGTGTTCAAAAGTTTTGCGGTTCACTGGTCCCTGGTTAAAATTTTCAATGTTTTAACAGATATATATATTTTTGTTTAAAACTACTGTAGACTTTCTTAGTGTCAAGTACTAAATTTAAACATTTTGTTGATATTTTTAAATTTCGCTCTATTTTAGTAGTGAAAAAGTTACTTTAGTGACTTTTTGGAGTAAAAAGTGACTTTTTAGTGACTGGCTTCAAAATAGTGACCTGCTACCAGCCCTGTATCAGGGATCAACCACATCGGCCAAACATGCACATGGAAATTGGCCTGAATCTGACGTAAAATAAATCACAACCATATGACCATTTGTGGCGAAATCGAGCACCGGAAGTCGTATTGGTCACACCAAGGCATGTTTCGAGTGTGCTCTCTGGTCAAAATCTGCTATGAGCCAGCACATGAAAAATCAGACGCAAACCCACATATCAGACATAATTTTCCTTTTCTTCCCTGAATGCAGAATTGAGCAATTTAACCAGGAATAAAATACGTAAAAAGGGTCAAATCTCACCATAGGTGGATAAATTCAGCCTTAGCAAAATTAATGATTTTTTATTTAAATATCACATAACATCATACATTCCATGTGAGTAATCATATAGCTTTCATTGGACACATGTGATTTAGTGGAACAATTTTGAATTATGGGATCACATGTGTTATGGGAGATCCACATGGATATTTTCCACTGGTTTTATGTGATTTATTTTATGAGTGCCAGTCACATCTTGGCAATCAATTGCCGCTTATTTCACCCAAAATCACGTTTCCCAGTTCTTAATAATTGAGAAATAAATTTTCATAAATTATCTGAAGGTCTCTGTACTTCTCTAAAACTATCGAAACATCTTAAGGGTTCTCGATTTATAGATCTTCAAACTGCTCCAAAAGTCTGAACAAAAGTTGCGGGACTGCTTATAAGGCATAACATAACAAAGCCGTTGGTCCATGGTTCATGAGGTAGGGTCCAGGTGTGGGAACTGCCTCCCTGGCGTCGGTTGCATTGGTGCTCAGCACGGAAAACAAGATCGACGGAAAAACGAATTAAGAAGAAAGAAATACAGATGTAGGAGATCGTCTCTAATTGACGAACCCTCATTCCGTGACACTCTCTCTCTCTCACACACACACACGCACACACACATACACACACACACACACACACACACACACACACACACACACACACACACACACACACACACACACACACACACACACACACACACACACACACACACACACACACACACACACACACACACACACACACACACACACACACACACACACACACACACACACACACACACACACACACACACACACACACACACACACACACACACACACACACACACACACACACACACACACACACAGACACAGACACACACACAC